TTTCATAAGGTGCTCCTTTTTCATGGATGGCATTGGCATAAACCTGTAGATATTCTGGGCTTAAAAGATCATGGTTCCATTCTGTAATTTTTCGCTTATGATAATTATAAAGTCAATGATGGTATTTGCAATCATACACAACTCAGGAACTGGTCGCCCAAATCTGCCAATCATGTCTGAAAATCGACAAGGGTAAGCAAGACGATTTAAAAGAATGCATAGCCCCTTCAGTCCTGAACATGTTGTCCTTTGTGGACACTTGACTATTTCAGGGATTCTAAGATTTCGTTGGAGGAAAATCATATCGCGTTTGTTGGCTCGGAATTCTACTTTACATTCATCCTCACTTAGATTATCTAAAAAAAATAGCTCATAATTTTTAAATGGAAGCTCTGGGTTCCTTGATTTATATGCCTTGTACAATATGATCAATTCATATTCGGTAATGTAACCTTCTTCAAAAAGCACGCAACAAAAGTTTCGTATTGTTTTAAACGAAGACATGAAAATAAGTTCACTTTCTACCGCCGCTTTCTATTACGAACTTTGCTTAACTGTTTTAAATATACGCGGGAGCGTCATGCTCGTCCCAGTCTTTCGCGATGTCTCACGACGCCGTTGTCGGATAAAACGTTGTTGCTTAAGCTCTCTAATAGGGAGTTTTAGCAAGAGTACGACTCATTGAGTTCTATAATAACTGGAGCGGCTATCTCAAGCGCGGCCTTAGATATCTGATGACGCAAAAAAAAATGGCGCATTTCGTCCTTTGCCGCTGAGATTTACCGAAATTGACCGCTTTTCCGAAAATTTTACAATTTCCCACTCCCTCCTGAGGCAAGAGTGAGGAAAATGTATGTGTGTATTTCCTTAAAAACCTTAAATTCATAACAGCGAGTCAACTGTGGTTGTCAGTTATCTGCTCTTACGAGGATGCATTTATAACTATCGACGAAAGAGCTATAATATATGTCGGCTACACATGAATGAATGCAGATGTGGGTCGTTCTTTTACCAGCGTCAAACTTGTTTGATCGATTAAACTCTTTAGTCTATACGAAAAAGTATATCATAGTTCATTTACACGGTTCACGAGAGAGAAGTTAGCTTATTTGTTATCATTGCTATTTTGCTTCTTTTCATGCAATGGGCAATGGCTTTTTTCGCCACAATTGTAGAATTTTTACTTGTTTCTTTAAAAAAGTAAATTTTAAATCTCTGGATATTTACGGATTTTCTGTAATTGAGTTTCATATGAAATTTCAAAAAGACTCAAGTCTGCTTAGGTTTAGTAAATGAAAACAAACAATATTGTATAGAACTTACTTTAAGTAACCTTTTTTGTGATGTTCTGAAGTGCAACTGCATCAAATACTTGTAAAGTTGTAGCACATTTTGACAGGGGCGGATTTAAGGGTCATCAAATCCATCACGCGACGAACGTATGAAATGGTGATTAATTATTCATGCAACATACTAAAATTAATAAATAATTTAGTCAACTATCACATATCGTAAGCCAGTGAACTCCATATATATATATATCTGGAATGATAACGACAATACATTTTATAGATATAAAATTGAAGCCAAAGTCCTAGTCTCTTGCGCGGTTTGTACGTCAGTTCCAGTCCTTCAAAGTCGAATATTCGCGCGGTTTGTACGTCAGTATCATTCCCCTGAGTGCTAAACATACACGGCCAATATAAATTTGAATACAAATTGCAAAAGCATAAACATATAAACAACATCACGACAAACAACACACGAGGCCAACTCTTCGCAAAAGGTTATTTTTTACAGCTGAAACTTTACTACAGTGAGTTCGTTGTAACTTACAACTTGTAACGAGGAAAAGCCAACTGAAAATTACACTGTTTGCTAAAAAGACAATACAATAGAAAATATGACGAAAAAATATTCAAGCATAAATTTTTCTTTCGTCGGAAGGTAAACTTTCAAACGGAAAACAAAAAAGACAGTGTTTGTCTTTTTTGTCATTTAAGTGGATTTAAAGATATGTTTTTCCGAATAAAAAAGAAACTTGAATATCCAGTTTCATAAAAAATATCGAGTCTATAACTCGCATTTTTACTTTTTACAGAGCGATTATATTTTTCATCGATTTTGATAGTGCTTGAAACTTGAAATACTAAATGGTTGTCATCTCGATATCAATAATTGAATATCCTTAAAGACTTTGATATGTTTTAAAGGAAAACCGCAGCGTAAGAGCAGATCGACTAAGTTCACCTCATCTTGCTTCTCGATTTATCACTTTGATTCACTTTCCGTGAACCTTTTCATTACAAACATTTCGTTATTTTTACGCTCTGATCAAGATCCGAACTCTATCATTACCAAGGGACAACTGATTTAAAAAAAATAAAATGAACACGCGAGAGACTAGAGCCTGACGTGTGATGACGAATGATGACAACAAATATTTTTTGGCTTCAATTTTGGCTTCGGTTATCATTACAGTTATTCAAATGTCGAGTTCACTGTCGTAAGCCAAACGAAAGCATAACGATCAGAATTAATTAATGGCCTGAGTGTACAGCCGTTTTTTTAAGGAAAGCTATGTAATTAGCCTCAAATATGATCTCAAGCCCACAGATCCATCAAAAAGTCAAATCTTAGTCTTCTCATTGGTCAATTCGCCTATTGCCATGGAAACTTGCAGTTTTGATGTATCTGTGGGGAGGCCTGATGGATTGACGACTTTCAAGGGCTCTAACAATCATATTTTATATTATCGACTAGTATTTTTACTTTGTTATTTTACGCTATTTGATACTTTGACTGATTCACAGCGGGGGTCATTTATTTTGAAGGTCTTATCTTTCGCTACATCGCAAAATTGCAATCACGCTTTGTTTAAAAAAGTTTCAGTTGTATCTGATATGGATTACGGTGTTGTTCAAGCTGCCTTTGCGGCAGATGATTGTAAAATTTTGGCAGGTTTTTATGTTGATCTTGCCAGGCAACTAAATGAGCAAGATGAGATATCGCTTGAGCAACTATTGGGTGCCATAAGTAGCTCGTCAAACAGCATTAGCAGAAACTATTGCGCGGAAACTTATATTCCTTTGACTGTTCGAAATCAAAAGGAAAAATCGTGCATAGCTTTGAGGTAAACTATATATTTTGTACAATTTTTCTCATATTTCACTAACAATATGTAAGAATGTAAATATGCATACAAACGGTATTGATGACTTGCCTTGTTTACGTTCGCACGGTTTGCTGGCAGGCAGATAAATCTCAAGGGAAGTTAAGCATTTTTGCTTAATTGTGCTGTGTTTCCAAAACGAAAGCACTATACAAAGTCTGCTTGCTATAAGTTGCCAGCAAAACGTCTGGTTGTATATTACAGGTCACTTGTGTTGTGTAAATCTCATCAACCTTTCAACTTGCTGATTTTTGTGGTTTTAGACTCGCATTTTAAAAACTTTATGAATGTACAGTGAGATAAACTTGTCAAATTTTCAGTTCAACCTGCTTGTTGATTATTCCTTGATTCTTTATAATTCTACTATTAACTATCCTATTTGAATTACTTATATTCATTCCCTGCTTATAGTTGTCAGCACTATTACACATTTCATATAGAGAATGTAGATTTTGTCAATATAAAAACATAAAGTAAATATCATATTTACGCGAGATTTTATTGTCAGTTAGCTATTTTATTACTCAATAAAACTAAATAAGATTATAACATGATTATATAATACATTTATCAAATAATGTCATATATAGAACATTTTGGAACCAAACCCAAAAATTCTTTCATCATCAGCTTCATGTATTTTCTTAGATCAGAAGCTTCAGGGAATTGCTTGTACAGTTCCGTGTCTTTGTCTCTGCTTGGTGATGATAGATTGGTTCCAACTTTAAGAATCTTAACCTCACTTGAGCTTTTCCTGAATGCTCATTTTACTGTGAGCATCCCTGCTTTTGTCTGCCATTGAAGAGCATCCTGATTTTTTTAAGGGAAGTATAAAAAATCTTTTACCCTTATCTGTCTCTGTTGAGTCCTTAGATACCGGTGCTAGTAAGGAAAATTTAGTGAAGAAAGAGGCTGTTTTTAATTGCAATGATAGTAAATGGTCATCATTTCTTTGTATTTTGGGTCTGTCTTCAGTTTTGAAAAGATGTATTGTTACATATTATCCGGATTGTGGACAACACAGGCTCAAACTTTTATTTAATCGTGTTATTCAACCCCGCTTGCATACTACTAGGGTTGAAAAGAAATTCATATTCTATTCTTCCATGAAGGTGACATAAGAACTGGAGAATCATTTCAGCCTAACCATTTTGTCCCTCTTCTTTTCATGCAATTGCACACAAGCGAAAGTCTGCTGACATTACACAAGCCACAACGTCAGCAAAAACGTAAGGTGCCTTCCTTATTTTCCAAGAAGGTGGCAAAATTTCCTTCTGGTAATATTCCAATTATTTCTAACTTTTACTGCATCAGAAAACAGCCATCCAAGTTATTTGAAAAAGCCCAATGAAACTTTTTCTTCTGCCAAACAAGTTCCTTCTTATATCACGTTGAAACAACCAATTAAGTCCTCCGCTAGTCAATCTTGTCCAGAAAAGAAGTATCATTCTGTGCATAATTTTGATGTTGCAACTTACCAGGATAAAGTTAAAGGCTTAGATACTTCTGGTGTTCTTCAATTGATTAAAAATGTTTTCAGGCCTGATGAGAATTTTTCCTTTCCTAAGACCGGTGGTAGGAGCTTTAGATATGACTGGCTAAAAAAATATGACTGGCTATGCTACTCCCCATCAAAAGATGGTGCATTTTGTTTGTCATGCGTGCTTTTGGTCATCGCTTCCCTGGTAAAGCTTCTAAGATTACAAATTTGTTTTCTAAACCGGTTTCACGCTAGAATGATGATGCATTTACTTTTAAACGCCATGATGAAGGAGAAGTGGGGTTGCATGCCGAAACAAATCCAATTTTATTTGCCTTACGTGCTCAAATGTCAGGGTCTGCGCAACCAATAGAGCTCATGTTAGAAAGAAATCTTAAAAAAGAAGTCGATCAGAACAAATGTAAACTGTCTTCTATTGCTGATTGCATTCTTTTTTGTGGTCGTTTAGGTTTACCTTTGCGTGGCCACCGTGATGATGCTAAATATCATCCAGAGGTTGGTCAGTATTCTACCGGGGGTGTTGGAAATTTTGTGGAGACACTAAATATTTAAAGTTCGTTCAGGGATGGTGTTTTAAGGGATCACTTAACATCTTGTGGGAAAAATAGAAGTTACATCTCTAAGACCAGCCAGAATAAAATGATCAAGTGCTTTGGAGAGGTTATTACTGAACAGATTGTCAACGACATTAAGGTTAATAGGTTCTTTTCTATTATAGCTGATGAGGCTGCAGATTCTTCCCATAGAGAGCAAATGGCTCTAATTTTACGTTTTATTGACAAGAATATGGACATAAGAGAGGAGTTCATTGCCTTTCTTCAATGTAAGTGGGGATTGAGTGGAGAGAACCTTGCTAAATTAATTCTAGATAAACTTAAAGACCTTGGCTTGCCAATTGAAGACTGTCGCGGACAAGGTTATGATGGTGCGGGTGCTGTTGCAGGTTGTGTTAAAGGTTTGGCTGCCCAAATTTTGAAGCTCAACTCGAAAGCATTATATACCCACTGTTATAGTCATAGGCTTAATTTGTCAGTTTGTGATTCTTTGTCAGATATTGAGGTTAAGAAAGTACTTAACAAAATAAAAGATGTGACAAATTTTATCAATATTTCTCAAACACGCAATATACCGTTTGAGGAGACTGTACGCAATAGTTTAGAAACGGACTCAAAAAAGACTAGATTGCCAGATGTTTGTAGAACCAGATGGGTAGAACGAGTTAAAGGTTTATACACTTTCGAAGAATTGTTTGTTCAAATTTTTGACACACTGGATAACATGGCAAAAGGTGGCAGTCCCTCTCTCGCTGCTGATGCATCCTCTTTGCTTGAAGGTCTTTCTGAGTTTCATTTTATCGCCCTCTTGGTTATTACCAGAAATGTTTTGATCTAACGCTTCCTGTTACTCAGCTTTTGCAAGGAAAGAGTATTGATGTTATGGACGGGATTGAGTTGATCTCTTCTTTGAAAAGCAGTGTTGCACATGTGAGGAATTCTATTGCTTCATATCATGATCAATGGTACGACATTGCTTTGACGTTAGCGGCAAAGGTTGGGGTAGAAGAATGTAAACGTAGGACAATTGGAAGGCAAACTACAAGGCCTAACGCTCCTTATCGTTCTATCTCGAGTATTACAAACGAATCTATACGATTCCTTTAATTGACCATCTTCTCTCGTCTTTGGATGCGCGATTTGACACGGAAAGTGTAAATGTTTATCAACCGCTAAGTATTGTTCCAACAAAAATGTTTTCTCATAAAAAATGGGATTGACTGGAGACATAAATTTAAGATTGTTTCAAAATTTTATGTTGCTGATTTACCCACTCAGTTAGGTTTAGATGCAGAGTTGTTATTATGGCAATCCTTCTGGGAACATCGTAAAGGTCCTTATCCATGTAATGTAGCTACAACTTTAAAAGCTATAAATTTTGATGGTTTTCAAAACATAAAGGTCATACTTCAAATATTAGGAACCCTTCCCATAACTTCATGCGAATGTGAACGTTCGATTTCAGCGCTGCGAATTCTTAAAGATTATAAGCGGAGTACTATGGTTGAGGAAGGGTTAAATGGTCTTGCTCTAATGAAAATTCATCAGGAAATTCTTCCAGATGTGCAACGCGTAATTGATAAATTTTCTGTTGGCAACACTAGATTTAAATTTAATTGAAATCATGAGAATTTTTTAAATTTTGTCTTTCTACATCTTAATTCTTTTTTAGTTTATAGATAAAATTGTTGATGTACCTATGTATAAAGGACATGCATTTAATTCTATGCAATAACCAGATTGCTGGCTTCGGCTCTTTAAAGGGCTGTCCATGTCGGATGATGCTTTGAAATTTGGGGCATCATCCTAGGCATGCTGAAGAGCCCTGATATTGGGCGAAACAGTCTGTCATCATCTGATTAAAGGGAATTCATCTAAGTTTTCGCAATTTTATGATCGCTAAAGTTTTATAAATCGCTGCATAAGATACAATGTATGATGTCATCTATGACGTCATATTTGAGGCTACATATGACGTCATAAATTTTTGACTAACATATGAAAAATCCTAAATCCACCCCTGACCGTAACCTCACCCTTTATGTAAATTCAATTTTGTAACATGAAGATTTATATGGCGTAGTCTTAATCCGCAACTGCTCCCGTAACCTCGCGCTTTTTTCTAAATTTATTTTTATAACATGAAGATATATTTGACGTAGTCCTAATCCGCCACTGCTTCCCTAACCTCAACCTTTATGTAAATTCATTTTTGTAACATGAAGATATATTTGACGTAGACTTAATCCGCTACTGCTACCGTAACCTCACCCTTTATGTAAATTCAATTTTGTAACATGAAGATTTATATGACGTAGTCTTAATCCGCAACTGCTCCCGTAACCTCGCGCTTTATGTAAATTTATTTTTATAACATGAAGATATATTTGACGTAGTCCTAATCCGCCACTGCTTCCGTAACCTCAACCTTTATGTAAGCTCATTTTTGTAACATGAAGATATATTTGACGTAGACTTAATCCGCTACTGCTTCCGTAAATTCACCCTTTATGTAAATTCAATTTTGTAACATGAAGATATATATGACGTAGTCTTAATCCGCAACTGCTCCCGTAACCTCCGCTTTATGTAAATTTATTTTTATAACATGAATATATATTTGACGTAGTCTTAATCCGCCACCGCTTCCGTAACCTCACCGTTTATTTATATTCATTTTTGTAACATGAAGATTTATTTGACGTAGTCTTAATCCGCCACTGCTTCCGTAACCTCAACCATTATATAAATTCATTTTTGTAACATGAAGATATATTTCTGGTAGACTTAATCAGCTACTGCTTCCGTAAACTCACCCTTTATGTAAATTCATTTTTGTAACATGAAGATATATTTGTGGTAGACTTAATCAGCTACTGCTTCCGTAAACTCACCCTTTATGTAAATTCATTTTTGTAACATGAAGATATATTTGACGTAGACTTAATCCGCTACTGCTACCGTAACCTCACCCTTTATGTAAATTCAATTTTGTAACATGAAGATTTATATGACGTAGTCTTAATCCGCAACTGCTCCCGTAACCTCGCGCTTTATGTAAATTTATTTTTATAACATGAAGATATATTTGACGTAGTCCTAATCCGCCACTGCTTCCGTAACCTCAACCTTTATGTAAGCTCATTTTTGTAACATGAAGATATATTTGACGTAGACTTAATCCGCTACTGCTTCCGTAAATTCACCCTTTATGTAAATTCAATTTTGTAACATGAAGATATATATGACGTAGTCTTAATCCGCAACTGCTCCCGTAACCTCCGCTTTATGTAAATTTATTTTTATAACATGAATATATATTTGACGTAGTCTTAATCCGCCACCGCTTCCGTAACCTCACCGTTTATTTATATTCATTTTTGTAACATGAAGATTTATTTGACGTAGTCTTAATCCGCCACTGCTTCCGTAACCTCAACCATTATATAAATTCATTTTTGTAACATGAAGATATATTTCTGGTAGACTTAATCAGCTACTGCTTCCGTAAACTCACCCTTTATGTAAATTCATTTTTGTAACATGAAGATATATTTGTGGTAGACTTAATCAGCTACTGCTTCCGTAAACTCACCCTTTATGTAAATTCATTTTTGTAACATGAAGATATATTTGTGGTAGACTTAATCCGCTACTGCTTCCGTAACCTCACCCTTTATGTAAATTCAATTTTGTAACATGAAGATATATATGACGTAGTCTTAATCCGCAACTGCTCCCGTAACCTCGCCCTTTATGTAAATTTATTTTTATAACATGAAGATATATTTGACGTAGACTTAATCCGCTACTTCTTCCGTAAACTCACCATTTATGTAAATTCATTTTATAACATGAAGATATATTTGACGTAGTCTTAATCCGCTACTGCTGCCGTAACCTCACCCTTTATGTAAATTCAATTTTGTAACATGAAGATATAAATTAGACGAGAAGTGATTCTTACACAGTAGTTTATAAGAGTATAAATAATTCATCTTTTATTCATTTCAGTCGAATCAACTTCGATGTGATTAAAAAACAGCTACATTTAATGCAAAAAAAACTTTAATTTTTCTCAAGGCAAAAATACAAGTGAGCAAAGGGTTAATCATTTTTTAACAAGGAGGAGGAATTTTTGCCACGATTGCATATTGACCTGGATTAATTTCTTTGACCACACGATTGACAACATCGATCATATCTCCATAGCTCCTAACTCTGAGAACATGATCTTCTACTGGTAACGAAGCAATTTGAACTATCTCTTCAATTCCACCACTAAAATATCCAACACCGATAACAAAGATTTCTATACCATCATTTTTTAGTTTCTTTGCATTTGGAGCTGTTTGACGACGATTTATATTTGAATGTCCATCTGTCACAAGAAACACCATTTGACGTGCACCACGACGGCTTCCTGTGAATTGTGCAAAAATGAAATGAATATTGGTTTGAGACAGTTTGAGAGATAGTCATTTTATCCAATTTGTGAATGAAAATGTTCATGTTTAAGAAATATTATTATCACTATTATCAAACAACTGATAGAGGACAAACCATTGTCACGAGCTTATTGAAAGGCAATATTTAAAGAAAAAAACAAAGAATCAAAAATCTCAAAATAATCTCCTCAACTACAGTGTTATACATGCACTAAATCAGCATGCACTACTTAGCAAAATAATTTTATCAGACAGGCACAAAAATTTGGCTTAATCAGCGTTATCGCTCTTATGCCTTATAATCCAAATGAATTCTTTTTTGTGATTAAAATGAGTACCTATCGTTCAAGCTTAGAAAATTGGTAGCAATATGTATTATAATATTATATTTAATTAACTATCGGTGGCAAAGTCACCCCAATCTTTTACTCCTACCATATAAATTTTTCATTTTTTTAGAAAATTCATTCATTCATTCTTTATCCAGTAATTGAAATAAAAAAAACGGTAACCTAGCATATAGAATAAAAACGTTTAGACTTTATGCAGCAAATAATTTTGATATAGCTAAACTGATTGTTTAATTTACAATATCTCGATTGCTGCAGTATATGAGATATTTGACAGATAGGATTCGTTTTTGATATCACAAATTTTGTAAGCATCATTTTGTTCGAACGCCATTTAAACGCCTATAATGACAACAACTACTTTTTGTTGTGCGATCCAAAAAAATGGATTATTTTAATGCATCCTTTGTAAAAATCATGAAGTATTTACGTGTACAAAATATTTAAAATATTCATATATTAGCTAATCTAACTCACCTTTCGTAGAATCATCAAATAAATCTTTTCCTTTTGCTAAACCACCAGCAGTGTTTGTCCCTCCATTTAAAAAAAAATGAATCAGATTTTTTTGCAGCTTGTGAAGCAGGAAAGAAATTGAACATGATTCTTGCGTTGGTAGAGTACTGAACACCAGCCCAGTTACCATCGTAGTTGGGAGGTAATGTTTTATTCATGAGATTTTTCATAGCCTGTTTTCCCTTCTTGTACTCACAATCTCCAACGGAACCAGATGAATCTATTACAATAGCAGTGTCTTGAAGATGGATTCTTGGTTTATTCATGACAGAAGATGGCAGACGAAAGAATTTTTTTGCCAATTTATATGCTGTGACTTTTTTTGGAGGAATTTGTTTGAATTCTGCAATTAATATTTCATGAATAAATTGTTCGTTAAAACATTAGCCAAAAGCCGTAGAACTTGTAGACTGATTGGTCAATAGTGGTGCATTAGCCAGTGCAAAAACAGACATGAGCTCAACCTATTAATTCAATCAATCAATTATTTATAGAGGATTTGCAAATCAACCATGAATACAATTTATATTGTAATTTTATAAAAAAAGCAAAAGATTTCGTCTTTCCACTGGCGTATTCATAAACCTTTCAGACGCTTGTGAGAGTTCACGAGCAGGTGCAACTCTGAGCCTTCTGTCTCTGGCTTGCACTGATCTGCGCTCTCCAGCTCTCTTCAAGGTCCTCACGGTTTGCATAAGCCTGTGCAAACACAGCAAACATCCTTTACTTTTTAGATATTTTTATTTTTAAGATATTTCTTTTATAGCTATCTTAAAACCCTTTGTATTTCATAAGGGTGTTTACGATAATGGCTACGCATCGAGTCTCTTTTAAAAAAAAGAACGAGATGAGAAACTATATCTTTTCACCAATACGTAACAAATTCATATCATTTACTTACTGTCATAAAACTGCTCGTCACTAGTTGGAGGTAAAGTGGGCATTGGTGTTGTCGTTCGAATCCAAAATGGGAGAATACTATCCACTAATGTTGTTCCACAAACAAATGCAAGTGTTAATGTAGAAAGAGAAATTGCCAACTTCATGTTAAGACTGGGATGTTTTGTTAATTTTTCCAATAAGAATTGAGTTGAACTGTAAATATGTGATGCTTTCCTCCACTTTCAAGTGTAGTATCAAATAATTCACATTGTTAAGTATGTGTATGACGTTTATGCTGAGACTATTTAAGTACAAAGATAAATATTTTTTAATTGCGACAGTTAGTTATTTCAATCTTAAACTGATCCAACTTTAAATTTCCTGTTTGGTTACAGGTGCTAAAAATTCGTTTCCAGATGTTACG